ACAGATTTGTTGTTGCCTTATGGAGGTCTTACACTGTTGATAATTCTTCATGAAGGTCTTACATTTTCTAATATTGCCACATAGAGGGCTTTCGGGCTCGAGGTTGCCCGCTTGGGATCTTATGGCCTCGGGTTTTTGATAGCTCCATGGGGTGATAGTTGGTGACAGTCCCCGAGACATTGAAAGTTTTTGGCTCTGGAGCCATTTTTTGTAATCTCGATGTTGCCTCATGGAGGGCTTATGAGCTCAAAATTTCCGACCCGGAGGTCTTACGGCTTCGAGTTTTTGATGTCAATTCCCCGGTGTTCGGGAAATTTCTGGCCCTGAGGCCATTTCTTGTAAAAATAGCAAACTTCTTTGAAGTGCAAAGTGTTTTGATGGTAAAAGATACTCCTTTGATTACTTGGTACAAGTATACATATTTTCATCCTCAAGGGTTCGATTATTCTATGCGGACATGATTCATTTGACTGTTTGGCTCTATACATCATTTCTCTGTCGAGACCCTGTTTGACTCATCTTGAAGAGAAGCCTTGAATACTAGTTGAGTTCTCCTTAGGTAGCATATAGATGTTGCCTCGTTAAAAACCTTGTCGGAAAAACCCTTCTTGGGATAAAATCCGATCGAAGGAAAAGAGTGCAACGCTTGCTTTAAAACCTAAGGTCTTCAAGATGGAAGGTGCTTCGATTTTCCTAACCGGACACCTGCGCACAGGATAGTATAAGGCGCAAATAAAAAGGGAGACGGTTATACCTTAGTATCAATGGCATTTCGAGCCTTGATATGCTTCAACTGCTCGCTCCGAGGATGCAGTAAGTCCTTTGTTCATTCGCTCGTGTGCAGCCGAGAATGTAGCTTGTTATTTCTACTTCGCTGTTTGATTATCCTTTGGCTCCTTCGATGTTGAAGGTATCGATGCCGGTGCCACATCGTGCACCGCAAACATCTCTCTTGTTGCATGTTGTTCCCCGTATACCGTTTTTGTTTCGTCTTTTATTGGAAACTTCATCATTTGATAAAGGGTTGATGGTACTGCTCTCATGCAGCGTATCCATGGCCTTCCGAGTAGGGCATTGCACCTCATGTCTCCTTCGATGACATGAAACTTGACATTTTGGGTTATGTCGGCCACGTTGACTGGGAGGGTGATTTCCCCTTTCGTTGTCTCGCTCGCCATGTTGAATCCGTTGAGGACTCGAGAGGCGGGCACGATCTGGTCGAGGAGTCCGAGCTGCTCCACCACCCTCGACCTAATAATGCTGGCCGAGCTACCTGGATCCACAAGCACACATTTAATTTGAAATGTATTCACAAGAAAAGAAATTACCAATGCGTCATTATGAGGCTAAGACAGACACTCGACGTCCTCTTTACTGAATGTGAGAGCATCCTTGGGTATGTAACCTCGAGTCCGCTTTTCCCTGGTGATGGATATTTTTGTTCGTTTGACAATAGGTTCCTGTGGGATGTCGATTCCTCCAACGATCATGTGGATGACATGTTGCGGCTCTTCTGTTTCATTTTTCCTGTTCGCCTCTCTTTCCTGAAATTAATTTTTGGCTCGGTCGCTGAGGAACTCTCGGAGGTGCCCTTTGTTTATTAGTTGTGCTACTTCTTCTCGGAGCTGTCCGCAATCTTCGGCCCTATGACCGTGTGTGCCGTGAAATTCGCACACCAGGTTAGGGTTCCTTTGAGACAGATCTGATAGTACAGGTTTTGGCCACCTGGTGTCTTTGATTTTACCTATGGTCGATGCGATGTCTGAAACATCAATGTTGAAGTTGTACTCAGATAATCGGGGTGCCTCCGTCTGTCCGGTGTGCCTGTCGAATCCGGCTCTGCTTACGAGTCCCAAAAGATTCTCACCTCGATCTGCTCTTCGGTTATTTTAGGGTACGTTACGCCTACCTTTCCCTGTTTGGCCTTAGTTCCTTTGCCAGGAGCCTGCTAAGATATACTGAGCCCGAGGGGGCTCCTAGTTGGTCATCCTCGACCCTAGTCTTTGACTGATACCGGTTGTGGACGTCCGCCCAAGTCACGGCGGGATATTCAACCAAGTTCTGCTTTAGCTGCTTCGAAGCTATTGAGCTTCGTTCGTTCAAACCTTGGGTGAAGGCCTGCACTGCCCAGTCATCGGAGACTGGTGGTAATTCCATTCGCTCCATTTGAAAGCGAGATACAAACTCCTGTAGCATCTCGTTTTTTCTCTATTTGATTTTGAAGACATCGGATTTCCTTGTAGAAATCTTGATGGCACCGACATGTGCCTTTATAAAAGAATCTGCCAGCATGGCAAATGAGTCTATCGAATCCGGGGATATGTTGTGATACCACATCATGGCCCCATTTGAAAGTGTTTCTCCGAAGTTTTCCAATAGGACAGATTCGATCTCGTCGTCTTTCAGGTCATTTCCCTTTACAGCACAAGTGTAGGCAGTGATGTGCTCATTGGGGTCCGAGGTTCCATTGTACTTTGGGAGATCGGGCATTCTGAATTTCTTCGGGATGGGTTTTGGAGCAGCACTCGATGGGAATGGCCTTTGTACGATTTCTTTGAATCCACACCCTTCAGAATCGGGGGCGCGCCCGGGATCTGATCGACCCTTGAATTGTAGGTCTCCACCTTTTTGTCATTAGCTTCTATCTTCTCTTTGCCCGATTCAATCCTCTTTGTGAGGTCCTCGAGCATCTTTATAATAGCGGGGTCGGCTGCTGACCCGTTGTTGCTCGATCTTTCCGGCACCTGTTCGGCTCGAGGATTGTTTCCAGTGCTGTTGTGCTTGGAGTTTTTTGGTGGCTTTGCAGTTGCGCAATCGCCAGCTATTGTGCCTGCAACATCTAAAAAATTACGTGAAGGCTAACCTCTCGTTCCTCCTGAGCTGAGGTTCTTTGAGCTTCTTGTTGGTTTTCTTAGCGTATACTCTTGTTAGTATGGGAGCTTATATCGACGTGTTGAGCGTTACGTGAGCCCACATCTACTGGAATTGGTTCTGGTGCGTCCTCGGGGTTTCGTAGTGGTACACCGGCGCCTGGAACAACTATACCATTCTCTCCATGATCCTCAGGACCGTTGTTTTCTTGTGCATTCACTGAGTTGGAAATTTTGACCTGAAATCAAAGATTCTTGGACAAGAAAAAGTGTGAAGAATAACTTGCGTTTTTCAGTAAACCAGCACGAAAACAATCACTATTATTTTTATCCCCACGGTTGGCGCCAAACTGTTTACCTTGAAAATGGTAATTACAATTAAATTTGATTTTGTGGTTATAAAAATATGTGATTTATTTTAATGCTAGTTGTTAGGCGATAAATGATAAGTGTGAGTTAGAAAAGTGAGATAAGAGCTTGAAGACAAAGTGTAATGCAAATCGAATGACCGTGAATCGGGGCTCGAGCTAGCCTAGGATGGGCCTCGAGGTCGGGCTAAAATGCCAGACTGGGAATGGCCGATGAAGAACTAACAGTTCTGGGAGCCTTGATGGTGGCTCTTTATGATTAATGATGAGTAATAAAAGAAGAACAATCAATAGAACACAATAAATGTAAGTAATAAAATCAAAGGAAAGACAATGGAGAATGTTTAAGTTAGGGAACAAAGAACGTTCTTATTCTTGTATTGAATTTTATTCGCGCAAGAAATGACAAGGGTCCCCTTTATATTGGAGGGGGAATCCCAACATAGTACAGGTGCATTTATTACAAAGATATGCGGCTGGTACATCCATTAGTTGCTACAGTACGGGCTTGTACTATTCTTGTAGACCTGGTTGGCTCTAACCACACATCTTGGGAATTCCCCGCTTATCCATCATAGCCACTGATTTGCACTGCCCCGAGATCGACCATAGGGAACCATCGGGGTCGAACCTCGAGCCTTCTGGAGACGGGCTATGGCGTATCATAATGATCATAAAATCGGACTCTCCGATTTTAGCCGTATACATATAGGTATCATGAAAGTTAGACAAAAAAAACTTTATAATATCATAATACCATGGTTAAAACTAAGTATGAACTTAGTCTTAACCTGATTGTCTTTACAAAAAGCACCGAAATGGACTAGGGGCAAAGCCTTTAAAAATATCACCCCAAAATAAGACCAGGGTTAAACCACCAAGTATTCCATCAACTAAAAAAAACAACAAACTTTTCAATCAAACTTTGACTATGGAGCAGGTTCTGAACCAGTATTCAAGATGGCATCATCAGCAACAGGAGGTTCAACTTGAGCAAAAGGGGTTTGAACAACTACTACACCAGGATTAGCTCCATCATCTTCGGCAGTATCAGCCACGGGCGAAGAAAAACTCTGGCTTTGCTGGGTTTTCTCAATTGTTTCCTTAATCTTTGCTATCTCAGCAGCCAAGTTAAAACCTTCCTAGCTTACCTCCATAAGAGTATCATGGCGCGCGTTCAAAAAGGCCCAACTTACTTCAACAACATCCTTGTCCACAAGAGCTTTGTAATCTTTCTCCCAATGATCAATTTCATTCTTAAGCTCTTCCTTCTCAGCTAAGGCATCATCATACGAAGCCTGTAAGGGGGCAAGCGAACTCTCCAAAAATTGAACCCTATCTGAAGACACCGGGAGATCTTCTTGAGCCTAGGTGAGTGTTTGAACAAGCTCACCAGCGTAAACTTCTTTCTCATTCAACAGGGCCTTCAGACCTCTAATCTCTTCTGTGGCCTTAGAAAGTTATTCAGCAAAAGACGGCTCAAGAAGGTTCTTGTCCTTGCCTGCTTGATTGGAAGAGGCTTTCTCAACTGCTAGTTCTGCTGCCATAACCTTTAACTGCTGCTCCAAGGTACATTGATTCTCCTCTAAAACCTCCATCTCGAGTTGAAGACTTTCATCCTGCTCTTTCCAATTATTTTCCTCAGTGTGATAGTCATGCATTAACTGCTCCGTATGGACAATCCTTTTCATCATCTCCGTACCGATGAGATTGATCTACATAAATAAAAGAAAAGGGGTTGAAATCCTAACGAAAGGAAAAATCACATAAGATAAAAAGGAGGAGTTTGTACCTTCAAAGATGACTGCACAATGTCGTTCATACAAGTTAAAGAACTATGACTTTCCAGTTTTGACTTCTCAACCGGGCCTACTAAGGGTTTGAACCACACGTCGGCCTGACCTGACTTCTTCAAAAGATTACTATCGGCAGGAATCTCAATGGTAATCTGCTTCATTGATCTGCTTCCACTTGAAGAACCAATTTTTGCACTAGCAGTAGAAGTAGTAGGAACGAACGAAGAAGTCAAAATAGTTTTAGGCGGAGCAGTAACAACAACGGAAGGAGTAGATAAATGGGGTTCCATTGGAACAGACACTGGAAAAGAGGCAAGAGGCGTTTCCTCGGAAATCAAGCCAAAATTCTCATTATCAAACCCACAAGAAAAAAGGTGTTCAGCAGGATCACGGGGTGCTGCAGGTGTAGCTTCATCAGAACTCACTAAAGTGGCTTCTTCAGGCTCGACCATAGAAATAGGACGAGGGGGAGGAGTAGCTTCGTCATTCGAAATGACACATCTTCTGGCCCGTAGCCTACGAACCAATGAGTTTCCACCCCGCTCTTCTTCATCTTTAGAATCCTGTGGTCTATCGACTTTTCTTTTTGATGAAGAACTCAATATTATTTCCTGAGCTCTTGCTAGAGAATGCCTTGAAGTCGTGATTGACCAGCACTCACACCTTGAATGGGAAACCCTGATAAAAAGAAGGGTTAATAAGTTCTAAAGTAAGAACGAACGAAGGAAAAAGAGAAAATGGAAGAGAGAGTTACCGTGAGCCTTAACCTTCCATCCAAATCTATTTGAAAGATACTTCCAAGACCTTACTTCCATAGGAGAAATTGTTAACAATTTTTCTACCCAACCACGTAAACCGGGAATCTCCTCAACAGTTCCCATGGTTGCTGAAAAGGAAAAGTAAAACAGTTACGGGAAATACAGGCTCTACAAATAAAAACGTTGTAAAGAAAACTTATGTGCAAAGTTCCACTTCTCAGCGAAGGGCATATTCTCTTCACCTACTAACCCACTCATAGGAGCAGCAACAAATTAGGCGTACCAGCCACGATCGTTATCGTCCTCAGGGCTGACTAAAACTCTCTTACTCCTCGCCACGAGAGTAAAAATTCCATGACGGAATAATTTAGGAGAGTAGAGATGGATTAGATGATAAAAGGTGAAAGGTAATTATGTCAGGTTACCCAAATACCTAAGACATGCTACAACCCTCCATACAATAGGGCCAGTCTGTCCTAACCACACATTGAAGAAGTGGCAAAACTCATTAATGACTGGGTCAATAGGAGGTCTAAAATCTAATGTGAAGGGATACATATACACAAAAGAAAAGCCAGGTTTAAAAGAAGTGATCCTTTGGTTTTCATTGGGGACCAAAATTGGAAAAATCAAATTTCCAATGACAATCTCTACGAACAACAGAAATCAAACCCTTAGTAATCTGTGAAGGATAAATGTCGGAACGATCATGAGAAGACATAGATGAAACTTGATTTCTAATCGACTCTCTATCAGAATAAAAAGAAAGTTCCAGGGATAATCTCATCAACTGTAGGTTCACGAATTGGCTCGCTGGAATCCCTATTTCTAGCAGAAGACCGATGTGAAAAAGAAGCCCTAGTTCTAGAAGATGAAGGAGGAGTAGAACTAGGTTGAGAAGAAGAACCTCGTATAGAAACTGACCCTAAACTACGTGTCACACCTCCTTTTTACCCCACCCCGGAAGGGTATAAGTGAGTTTCTTCCAATTTAAGTGACAATCGAAATAGGATTATTCATTTAAGATCAGAGTCGCCACTTGGGATAATTTATGGTGTTCCAAGTCACCGGCTTAAATCCCGAATCGAGGAAAAATTGACTCTATTTACAGTCCGCGAACACAAAAATCCGGGTAAGAAATTATGTTAACCCGGGAGAAGGTGTTAGGCATTCCCGGGTTCCGTGGTTTTAGCACGGTCGCTTAGCTATTATTATTGTCCTATTTATTTGATTTTAAAACACCTTTGAAACCTATGTGCATTTTATTCCTTTTTTAAACTACTTTTGATAATCCAATATTATTCAACTAATTACTTTATTACACGTTTGCGAATCATGTCATGGGAACCGTATCCACAATTCACATCGTGTTTATTTTTATTTAAAAAGATTAAATTGGGGCCGGCTCACATAAATGCACCCCCGGATTTTAAAAAAATAGATGTCACGACCACGTCACGGGAGCCGTACCCGTAGCTATGACAATTATTTAATTAACGCACCTAAAGCAAACTACGAAATTTCAAGGGATTTTCTACACTAATTTTGTATTTATGTGCGGGCCATGTGCTTTGGGGTCTTATTCGGCATGGCACGCCTCAAATTATTCTATAGGATTTCTTTATCTAATCTTCGAGGGCCATAAGTTATAGGTTTTGCTCATACGGCACACCTCGATCTAATTAAGGAAGCCACATTTTACTGGGTCTATAGACACTTGTGTTTGCAGATGGCTTGAGATTAAAGGGGTTATCAACTGTGAGCATAACCGGGCCATGGGTCGTTTCAGAGGAATGATCCCATACAAAAATCCCTTGGTCATTGAAATCAGATGGCCAAAATACTAAAGAGGCGACACAAGAATTGGGCCTTAGGGAAAGAGGCCTGGGGCGCATGAGCTCGATTTAGACCAGGCGGTCTTGGGCCATTTAATGGGCCTGGTTTTTTCTAAGGAATATGGTCCAATATTTCAGCATCCATTATACTTGGATTAATCAAACCTTAATTTACATTAGACTAATTGATTTTATCAAAAATAAAATAAAAGATTCACCACATCATGTAAATCTAAATTGCAAAAAACCAGAACACTTCATGCTCAACGAACACACAAACCACTTGCATTTGAAAATCAGATCTACTACTCATCAACGTTGAGTTCATAAACTTAGTGAATCTAACAGGAGAATACTATAAACATTCAAGTAAATATCAAAATACAACAATAATTCCTAAATTTGTTTGGATATTAAAACCAACACCTAAAATGGCAATACTATGAGAAGAGCTCATTGTGGACTGACTGATTGCTAGCTCGAAATAATTCAATCAAAATCTCACAAAAAATGCTACTCATCTAAATCAGTCCATGCTGCAGTAAACCCAATCAGTCCACACATGTAAACAGGACTTCAAACAATCTAAAACACCAATAAGCTAAATTAGAGTACCTGTCTAGACTTACAAACAAGATTCAAACCAAATCATAACTGAACAAATAAGCATATCAAAGAGACTAAGCTACTACAGAATTGCATGATCTTGAGAACATAGAACATCATTCAATAAACGACATGTGTCTCGAATTCCATCTTGATTACATGGCTTTAGATTTTGCACTTCACACGTTAATGAGATCCGAGAAATACCTGGGAAAATTAGAGCAAAAGAAGAGTGAAAGAATCAGCAGCAGAAGAAAGTGCACTTCAGCAGACCAACACAGCCAAAACCAGCTTCCTTAGACCATTTGAATACCAAATATTGCAGAAAAACCTTTGAAACTCTTTAACTACTGCTAACAGTGAGATTAAAGACCAATTCCCAGTAGTTTTTGACCCCAAAATGATGCAGAAATTTTAGTATAGTTTTCAGAGTATTTCCTTTAGCCGTTTCTGATTTTTTTTAGTACCAATCTCTCCAATCTCCTCTGGCTATGAAGGAAACAAGTCTTTTATAGAAAGCCTTTAGGGCAGCAGAAATAGTTTTATCATTTTTCGATCAACCCTTCCCCAATTTTTATTTTTATACTTTTAAACCTTGATTTTAAAACCAATTTCTGAAACTACTCAACCCTCTCTTTCCGGGAAGTTTCCCATTTAGTTTTTAAAGATTCTCTCACTAAAATTCCCCCAAATACCCTTTAATCCCCTATTATTTACCCTCATGAACCAGATATGGGTCAAGTTGACCCAACAATCAACCCAAAACCCTGGGCTTGCAAACCCGGATAGATCCTCCCCTCTTTGGGCTTCTATTGACAGAGCCCAAGTCCAATACAATAATCAAAATAAAACCCACAAAGAATATAGGCTAATGGAGTTACAAAAACCAGAATTCTGTTGAAACGAAACAAAACAAAAGAGAAGGAATTAATCAAACCTAAAACGAAAACTTAAAACAAACGTAAACTAACATGCTTTTAATTTTAACATGCAAACAGAAAGATGATTTAAAAACAGAAAAAATAATAAAGAAAAACAAAGAATTAGAAGGAGATGAGGATGAGAATAGAACAAAGAACGGGAAAACATGGGAAAAGAGCGATGTGTACCTAAATATGCAGACAGACAGGGCTTTAAGGGATCTCCGACATTTCCGGTTTGGGCTAAAATTGGCAATAATCGTGTGTTCTAATTGAGAACAAACGAATAATACCCATTTTGGCCTTAATCACTCTTGAAAGCATGACGATTTGGGAGATTTGGGGTGTTGGCCTCAGATCTGAAATTCGAGGCGACAGAGAGGGATTTGAGGGGAATTGTTTTGGGGTTTAGGACGAGAGGGGCTGGGGGTTTTGGGTTGTAATTTTGGAGGTGGTTTGAGGTGGCGCCGCCGCCAGAGGGGGTGAGGAATTTAGGGCAGCGTTAGGGTTAAGGTTCAAATGAAGAAGATGAAGTGGAAGGGGTACGAGGTTCTATGATGGCATTCGGACAATTTTAAACAAGATGGGGGAAGTGTTTAAACCGTTGGATGATGGCAAATGAAGGGCCCGGATTTGTTTGGACTGAATGAACTCAAAACGACGTCGCATGAGTCGTCTTGAGACCGGAAGGATTTGGACCGTGTATGGTTCAATTTTGGGCCTGGAATTCGAAAGGTTTTTGGGGGAAACTCGTTTGGACTGGTTGAATTGGCTTTGAAAGCCCTTTTTAAAATCTCTTTTCCCCTTCTTTCTTTTTAATTTCCAATTTTCTTTTCCTTTTCAAATTAATTTAAAAACCTAAATTAACTCTTAAACTAAATTAACTTACCGAAATAAGGTAATTACTCGTCATAGTATTTACGAAAATTAATTTAACTCCTAAATTAAAAGAAAAACTACAAAATTCAAAATTAAAAAGTTAAAATGCAAAGTGAGTTGTTTTTTTGTGATTTTTTCATTTTTATAAAATAACTAACTTACTAATTAATCTATAAATGTAAAAATTAATCCTAAATGCAATGCATGGTATTTTTGATACTTTTTCATGATTTAAATACAATAAACATGCACAGATAAATGCAAAAAATTAACAAAAGTCCTACGAAAAATCTACAAAATTGCAAATAATGGGAATAATTTATTTTCTTGAATTTATGGGAGTAATTCCTATAGGGCAAAAATCACATGCTCACAACTGCCCCTCGTTGCTCGGAAACACACAGAGTTTTCGTGCAAAGATAAAGGGAGCGGATACGAGCGATTTTTGCTCATTTGAATACTCCGTAGGAAGCACTTTGAAAAGATTTGACCGCACCCTGCTTCCGAGGTTGCCTACATATCCTTGGCTATAAAGGAATCAGGTCAGTGTGGTTCGGGAAGTTTCGGTAGCTGGGACTACCAGGAAGCTGTGACTTTACTATTACTGCTGTTGCTGCTTGCTGAACTCCTTATTACACCAAGCCAAAATAACAGAAGCTAGACTAAACTGTGATCTATGAATTACAAGAATCCTATCTATATCTTCAAACTTGATCTTGCAGTTTTTGTTGCTCTGTTGACTTGTACTCTCCAGGTGAAATTCCTTTGTTGCTGACTTGAATTGTATTCTGAGCTGCTTTCCCTTTGTTCTCCAGGTGGGCGCCTGATTGCTGAACTTGAACCGTCCTCCTCTGAACATTGCTGCTTTCCCTTTGTTCTCCAGGTGGG